CCCAGAGTCACCGTGAACGCCACAAACAAACAAAGTCCCACTGACCCATCCAACTGTTGTGTTTCTTTTAAAGCCCAGTGCGGTTTATTTGTGAAAAAAGTTCGAAAATAGACCATTCAGTGACAGTGCGCCTTATAATCCAGAGCGTCTAATAGCCCGGAAAATATGGTATTTATGGAAACATTCGAATAAACTTATCAAGAAACACATGTTTAAGTAACCCTGCATTATTAGTCTATGACTCTGTTCCCCCTTGTGATGTCATGAAGTAATCATTATTTTAATCATTTTAAACAGTGTGTACCATATTATATAACTTGGTAGTATTAAAGTTCAAATCAAATTAGACTTCAATAGGGTGACCACATTTTCAAAATCAAAAACTGGAACACCACTGGGTTGGTTGTGGTTGGTAATGGAAATTAGCTGGAATGTCCCTCTGGCTGGAAGGTCCCTCTGAATTGCACCCACTTCTTCTTCATCTATAGCTTGAACATACATTTTTGTCAACATTATCCATGTTTAGAAGGCTGCATAAATGTATCTAACATATCAAATTGCATGTTTTCTGTATTTTCTCTCTAAGTACTGTGATTAGATTTGCGATATGTTTGAAAAGTAGGATTCGGTTTGGAGTACATACACATAGGAGCATTAACATTTGAGTAAAGACTCAAGTATGAACATCTAAACAGCTCTTACTGTCCCACAGGAAGCAGAGACGAGACGTGTCCACTACATTCCTCTGTTCCACTTAAGAGACACACTATCAGTGAATCAGCATGGAGCAGGTCATTAGGAGCAGGCAAACAACAACCACAAAACTTCTGCCTGTAGGACCCCTGCCTCCCCAAAGGACCCCCACCCCCACGGGACCCCGCGGCCTCGTGTGATCGTGTGTGAGCCCAAGAAGTGACGTGTCAAGAAACAAGACGTGTGTGATTTTGAACTGTTGCATGAGTTCAGTATGGAGAATATAAAGCCTTGGATGAATATTTTTCCTCTCAAATATCAGCACTTTTTTGCCTGGGATCCAGAATACTCAAGTGCCCGACCGATATATAGGTTGGTCGATATTATCAGCCAATATAGACACTTGGAGACATATCGGCTATCAGCCTAAATCTTGTCGATGTGGGAAGACAGTCCACGTGGGCAGGTTATACCTCTTTATAAAGCTTAGACTCTCTATATTATGTCCAATTAATCCAATTTATAGACAGATAAATGTCCGAATATGTGGCAATATTTATCTGTGGAGTCATTTGTCTGTGTGCGTGACATCGTACTGCCCCTGAACGCATCCCCAGAGTCACATCACACACATTTACACTTGTTTACACCCGTGCACAGCCATAGATCCACGTGCACAACGCTGAGGCGATGCGTTAAATGCTCTTGAGTCTGATCCACAATACTGAGTGAACTTCAGCGCAGTTTAGGCCAGAAACAAAACTAAATGGTCAGATTTTTCTATAGTACTTTTCCACCTTCATGGCACCCAAAGAGCTTTACAAGAAGGAGCCACTCACCACATTCAACACACATTCAACACACATTCAACACACATTCAACACACATTCATACACCAGTGTACGCAGACACTGTGGGCGAGGTGGATTAAGTGTCTTGCCCAAGGACACACCGACAGCATTCATCTGTGGGAGCCAGAATCACACCAGCCAACCTGTGGGTCAGTGGATCTAACCGCTCAACCAATAATGTTTACGTCGAGAGCTGGATTCGAACCACCAAACTTCAGACCAGTGGGAATGCTCCACCAATTGAGCTACTGCCGCCCCACTAACTACTGATGTTTTTATCAAAGTGTGAGTGCGGAGAAGAGAGGACTGTCCCGCAGACAGAGGACACGGTCTACAGTCAACATGCTGGATTATATTCTTTTCATGGACGATTGTTTTGAGTCGGGACTAAAATGACACTTATTACTGCAGACCTGTGATCTGAGAGGAGCCTGTGTGAGGCTGAGTGTCGCAAATGCATTGGTTTAGGAGCTACTTTTGTTCTTTCTCATTGTTTAGCTCTTAGCTGCTGTACCTCCCACACATAAACAGTCTGTTTTCTTACATTGGCCTAGTGTTAAGTGACTATAGTGGCTGTAGTTATGTTTTTAGACTAGCATTGCTATGTAAATGAGCTGCGAATAGAGGTGTGAATAATCGACATTTACGTATATAATTAATTACCACACCGTGCACGCAGTTACTGCTAAAAGCTGTTGGCATTTTTGCATCACATTCTAGCCACTGAAGAAAGTAAGTAAACTACTGCGATTAAGCCGACCTATTGTCTTTAAAAATGATTGTAAAAAGGCAGAACAACAATAAATGTTGCCTAAACAAACCCAATTTAAAATCCAGTAGAGCCAGATGTAAGTTTTATAATCAGCTGAAGATTTGGAGTGAATTTTTACATCACTAAATATATCAGCTTTTATATTGCCTATTGGCACCTTCAATTCCCAGTTTATTGGTATATCAGCCACAAAAAACTCGGGCGGACCCTAGAATACACACTCACATACTTTACAAAGATGTGTGTCTGGTCAGTAGTGGATCTTCCTGTTTTCAGATGACAGAGTGAGTGACAGATGGAAAAAACAAAGGAGAAAAATATCACAGGGGACTGAAAAACATTGATTTTTGCAGAATCAAATGAGAGAAGCAATAAACACTAAAAAATGATAGATGACCAGTGAGCTGTTGAATTTCATATGCGTCACTGAAATAAACAAATCTGATAGGATCATCACGTTTGGGACAGAGGATGTGGGGAGCAGACTGATATCAATCTGTATAAAAAACACAAAGACAATCTGGATCTGCCGAACAAACATAATGTATCTTTAAAAACCCAAGCAAAATATTTTAGATTCCAAACGTGTACAACATCAATGGACACAGACAAAACTCCACATCACATCCACAGAGAACGTCACATCTGTGAGCAGCTTAAAGCAGACAGACGAGTGTGAACGCAAAATGAAACGGCACCAACAATCCAGACACAATGACAACTGTGTTCAAGCAGAGACATGACAGCCCCAGCACACGTCTAAATATAGAGACCAATCTGCTGTGGAGGATATGGACTGGGACAGCAGATGGACAGTGTAAAAGCAGAACATATAATAACTTTTCTGATGGACGGTTCACTTGCTTTTCACCAGGGAGATGTTATTGCTTTGCTCAGAAAGTTCCACGGTATGGTATTAAGTGTATGTACCTTGAATTTATTTCATTATGGGTGTTTTTATTGATCAAAAAGACCTGAAAAAACATGCAGGCCTCTCTACAGATCTGACTTTTAAAGCAGACCTTTTCAGAGTAGGGTGACCAGAATTTCAAAACAAAAAACTGGGACATTTCTAGTTTTTTTGTGTTTGGTAATGATAAAATTGTGAAACAAATGCATAATTAAAGGGCCCATCTCATGCAAAATCAATTTTTCAGAGCTCTGTACCTTCTAAGAGTGATGTGTGGGCCTTGTACATGTCACCAAAGTGGTTTTTAGATTGATTCTGCGTTTTTTTAACAAATTGCAGTGTATTTGTGCCACCCTCCCACATGACACTGAACTAAAGCTGCTACAACGATGATGCGGCAGATACACCTATGACGCCTTTGACATAGCAGAAAGTGCTTCGCACCTGTGACTTCCTCCAAGAAATCAGTAAGATTTCAGAACTATTGTGTAATGGATGTTCCAAAACCCAAATTGTGCTTGTTTATGTGCAGAAGATACAATGTGAAAAGAGTTATTTTGCATGAGATGGGCCCTTTAAGGAAAATAGTTATACAGGCTCTGTATCTGCTGCTTCTATCACACTGTTCCTCCTGTACCACTGTCACTTCACTCTACTGCACATGTCTCCTGCAGAAAGAGCCACTGTCTTGCTGCAAATCATAGGTCTATAATAAAAGTTTTTATTATAGATCCAAGCTGCAGGTACAGTAATTGAGCAGCAGAAAGAAAGTTTGGAGTGAGCGAGAAACTTGTGAGGGACTGAAGAAAAGTGGAGAATACTTGAACTGCAATGAAGAAAACAAAAAAGCTCATTGCGGGCTAAAAGATAGATTTAGCTAGAGTTGGCAGAGTTACTCAGAAGTGACACCAAGGATGAAGAATTGAATGGATTTAGTGATTTGGAGTGAGATGGAGAGTTTGGTAAACTTGTTCTGTTCTGTTGTTTATGTTATAGTTTATCTGAAGAACTGTTCATATGTAACAGTCTGTTGTTCTCTGTTCTATTGTTATTACTAGAACTTGACGTTCAAGATGAAGATGAAGAAATGTCGGTTCCTGGTCTCTGATTTTATAAAGTAGATTTACATGTTTTTTTTTCTTCTTCATTATGCATTTTTTTTGGCTGGTGTGACTTGTACGTTAAGTCGTTTCAGATGAATGTACAATTATAACATACTGATCCATGGATGTTATAGATTATAAATACAGAGCAGAATCAAGCACAGTATGTTTTCTTTAACTTAATCTGCTCGTGTTCATAGATTGACAAGTTTAATGGCGTTCTGTGGAACATTCACGGAAAGCAATGACATCTCCATAGGGACAAGAAAGTGGCAGATCCTACACCAGAAACGTTACATAGTGCACGTTTAAGTTTGCATGAAAGTAAGAGTCAATGGAAAATCAAAGTTCTAATTTCTTTTCAGCCATTGCAATGATTAGGACAACATGCATTAGACGAGACTCCAAGAACCAGATTTTGGCATATTTTTCAAGTAAACAACTGAATACAAACTCAAAAATTTCAACAAAAGCTCCAAACATGCCAAATAATCTTGAGGCTTGAGGATCTTGTTCCATGACTATGTTTTTAACCGTTCACAAGCAAAACAAAGAAAATGGCTGAACTGTCATTTGAAAGGAATTTTGTTGTCTCAAATATCTTCTTTCTCAGTCATACCCTCCTGGTTTGAGTTTGACTCTATTAGGGAACGTCGTGTCTGATGACTTACCTATCGCAGAATGCAGCCTCGAACTCTTCAAGAGATGGACTGTCTTCAATTAAAAATCCTGATGTTGAATCCAAATTTCTGTAAAGACAAAACAAGAAAATAAAAATTTAATATTTAGAATAGAACATACTATTTTAAAGCTGCACTGTGCCACCTTTTGGTTGGGGGTCTGTCACATGCATGTTTCTATGGAGATGTCATTGCTGTCCTGCTTGGAAAGTTCCACAGTGTGACTTTAAACGGCTCTACTTTACATTTATTCAATTACAGGTGGTTTTATGGCTCAAAAATACCTCGAAAAACAGACATTCTGACTGGTCTGGTTTAGTCTCCATGAAGATAGAAATGTTTAATGCCATACTGTGAAACATTCCAGACAAAGCAATGACATCTCCATGGAGAAATGCATTTGATGAAACCTCCACCCAAAAAGTTACACAATGCCCCTTTTTATTGCGTTATCTTTTTGTAATGGATAAATGTATATATCCATATCTACCACACTTTTTTCATGGTTTGGGTGTTTCCTGTGACTTATACATTCAAATGTTCACACTGAAGCTGCGAGAGGCTCTAGTCTTGTGTTTCAGTATCTGCTGCTCCTGTTCCTCCTGTACCACTGTCACTTCACTCTACTGCACATGTCTCCTGCAGAAAGAGCCTCTGTCCTGTCTGTATCATGACAGTCAAACGCACCATTACTTCTACACTACTGAACATTTTACATTTAAACAAACGTATAAAGACGACTGAGAAGACTGAACACAAATGGCCCCAAAAAGAAAATCATATTTTGCAGATTACAAGCTGCAAGTAGTGAAATCTGCTGCCGAAAACAGTAATCGAGCAGCAGAAAGAAAGTTTGGAGTGAGCGAGAAACTTGTAACACTGGGAGGATGCACCATGAAACTTTTCTGGAAGTCACTGGACGGATGGACAAAGCCTGGACTTCAGTGACACCGAAACCATCCTGTCGGGATTCAGAAAGGCTGGAATAATTCTAACTACACAGCTACACAGAAGAGGAAGCGGCGCTCTGTTTACCTCTGGAGTTGCTCAGAAGTGACACCGAGGATGAAGAGTTGAATGGATTTAGTGATTTGGAGTGAGATGGAGAGTTTGGTAAACTTGTTCTGTTGTTTATGTTATATTTATCTGAAGAACTGTTCATATGTGACGTTAACAGTCTGTTGTTCTCTCTTCTATTGTTATTACTAGAACTTGACTTTCAACAGGAAATGTCAGTTCCTGGTCTCAGATTTTTTTGAATAAATTTCCCCCCAAAAAGTGTAACACATATGTTTTCTTCATTATGCATTTTTTTGGCTGGTGTAACTTATACTCCAGAGTGACCTATAGTCCAAAAAATACGGTAGTTTTCAAGTGAACAGCTACCGTTTACCTTAAGTTCAGCGAAAAGGGTCAAGTCTAGAGCTGAAATTCTCCAATTGATTCTACTGAGGAACTAATATGCAGGATTTGTGTGTTAAACATGTGTGAATGAAACAAAACACAACTCCAGGTCTGTTTGTGATGAGGAAACACAGTAACATAGATCAGAAAACGGCGTCATATGGGCCTTTTAAAACAACATATATCATTGAGTGGTGAAAGGTCCTAAAAACATCTCCAAAAACAGAAAGCGATACACAATGAAATGCGCTATGATGACAGAAAATAAATTTGCGTTTGCCTGTCAAATCTCTGTGCAATAACATGCTGGACAAATAATTGAAAAAAAAAACCAATATGAACACTGGTCTTTTTAGCGCATCTTGCCCCAGTCAAAAAGGCCATTGTGCTCAGTAATTCCAAACTACTTTAAGCCCCGATCCCAGCACATCCCTGATCTAATACTACTATGACTCAGTAGAATTAAACAGGCTCCACTCCCTCACCCACAGACACTGCATTCTGACTTGGCCCTCTGCACCGTCAGCTCCAAACACTATATAAGGCTGTGTTATTGTAGCACACACAGACAAGTCTAAACCATTAAACCACATCTGCGCTGGCAATGAAAGACTCTTATTTTAATAGTTTTAAATGAGTCAAACAAGTGGGATTAAAGAGCTAAGGCAGGATGTACTAAAGTAAACTAAGGTGACCCGGCTTACTGAAACAATGCACGTTTTTCAAGCACCTGTACTTAATAATAAGTCCTTACACTTGCGATGCGCTTTACAGAATCGTCGAAGTCCCTCAAAGCGCTGCACTGAATTTACGTTTACATTGAAACGTATCGCGGTATCACTGTTTTGGAAACGATTTGCGTCCAGACACATCTTTTCTGTGTCCGCAGTCCTATCCACACAGTAACGTGGACCTTTCTGAAACGCTAGTCACATGATTAGACTGGCATCACGGCGTCACAACGTCAAGTGGGCGGTAAAAACAAGGAAGTGGAGCACCATGTCTGAAGTTGCAGCTGCCGATTTCGAGCCGAGGAAGATGGCAAGCGTGAAAGTAATAAGTAGTTCTAGCTACGCTGTTTCCCATTTGTCTCTGCTTAGTTTAAACTGTTTTCCGCAATAGCGTCACATGACCAATGTCACGAACCCAGCAAATCACAAAGGCGCAAGTCACACATGACGTAGTCCAATAAGGAGGCAACTCGAGCTCCTACGTCAGCGTATCAACATTTTCAGGCGTCCACACAGAGCCGGATCAGATCTGTACTCAGATCAATTCGTAGGAGCTGGCGGCACCAGATCGTTCCGTCTCTGGAGCCGTTTTCCATCAGATTAGTGTGAACGAACACTGCATCCACAACGAAAACGACTTGAATACGCACTAGTGTGGATGAGTCATTCTTCATTCCCTCCACACTTGGTGATGGTTAGACTCCATAGGCTCTATTCACGCTTAACATCACAAAACCGGAAGACGTTTCAGTTAGGACATTTTCCCACTGTCTGATCTCCTATGTGGCCGAAGGTTTTGCACCAGCCTGATGTACCATATTTTTAGGACTATTAGTCACACTTTTTTCATGGATTGGGTGGTCTAGCGACTTATACCCATGTGCGACTTATATATTAAAATATATAATTTCACATGTTCGTTATTTTCACACTGACAGCCGACAGAGGGTGCTCTAGTTTTGTGTGTCAGTATCTGCTGCTCCTGTTCCTCCTGTACCACTGTCCCTTCACTCTACTGCACGTGTCCTGCAGAAAGAGCCTCTGTCCTGTCTGGATCATGTCTTGTAGGATGTCAGACTCTCCCGGGGGCGGGGACAGTTGTGTCGATCAGGTATGAGTGGATGTTCGGCTCCTGAAGTTTGAGACATTTCTCCTCATCGTTTATGCACTCACCTGCATTTAACACATATGGGTCATTCAGACGTGTCCCACTCACTAATGTTCATTTAGCATCAGAATCATATTCTAATGATTACAAACTGCAAGTAGTGAAATATGCAGCGGAAAACGGTAATCGCGCAGCAGAAAGAAAGTTGGAGTGAGCGAGAAACTTATGAGGGACTGGAGAAAAGCAGAGGATACTTGAACTGCAATGAAGAAAACAAAAAAAAAATCTAATCTCAGGCTAAAAGCTAGATTTAGCTAGAGTTGGAGGAGTTGCTCAGAAGTGACACTGCAGATGAAAAATTCAACGGATTTAGTGATTTGGAGTGAGATGGAGAGACTTATAGTCTGGACAATACAGTATAAAGCTTTGTTTGAACACTTAAATCCAAAGAGAGTACTGCAGCGGGTGCTCTCGACAAAGTACAAGAGTAAAAGAAGGTTGTACTTGAGTTCGTTCTGAATTCTGATTAGATCATTTGAATCACAAATCGTACACCCCCACTTAAAAAATCTGCACTACACCACTGCACACACTTGAGTAACCCTTTATTATGAGTCTGTCTACATCTCCAAAGCTCAAAACGCTCTGTTCATTGGAATATGACAGGTATGAGGAAGGCTGGAAACCATGGAAAGACTTTATTAACACCCAAACATAAAAAAATAAATAAAAAAAAGTGACAATCCCTGTGCACTGCTACTCAAGTGTTCAAGTGTTTTCTTGTTTTTTCATTTTAATTTCTTTCTTTGTGTCCTTAACAGAATAAGGGGGAAAAAAAAAATTCAGTGCTATCAAAGAGAGATATGTGAAATGAAAGAAGGACGAAGGGGGGAAGAAAAAAAAAAGCAAATTGTTGTACATTTGTGATTTGAAACTGCCATCTCTATTTGACTGCTAATAAAACTTTTAATAAAAAAAAAAAAAAGCTCTGTTCAACCTTGCGATGTCTTGAAGTTGTAGATTTCAAGTTAAAGTTTTACATTTTGTTCAATGTTCAGAAATGATCCAAATGATTCTAGTGTTGGAAACTGCGCCGCTTTAATATCTGCAGCCTTTGCGATTTGCCAGTCACATCCCGTTCAAACTGTAATTTCGATTAGACGGTGATTCATCTTGCAGCGCTCCTCACTTACCAATCATCCAACCATCTTTCACGCTGCAGTATACACTCTCGCAGTATTGTACACTTGTATGGGGGGAGGGACCAGGCCAGGGATCCGTTAGAGTAGCTGCGTGTTCTGCTGTGGGTGTGAGAGTCGAACATGTGGCCAAATTTGGACTTGATAAGTTTCGCCTGAACCTATAAACAATGTCCGATGACAGATGGTGGGGGAGATATTGGAACTAAACTGGAATATTTAGACCTTGGGAATAGACGGTCAGAAATTAGACTGTTGGTATCAAATGCCCGAGACATAAGAGGATAATACATCACGTTCAAACAGGAAAATGTGCTGAGGCAGACCCAGAGTCCCTTGGCGTTTAAAAGCTTTGGTTGGACCACTTCCTTCCTCGGGATCTAAATGACACTGCAGAATGTAATGCTGGCAGATTGTTAAACAGATCCATGTGTTCAAGTTAAAGAGATTTTATTGCACTAACTTCTGATCTATGTGATAATGTTGGAGAGCTGTTAACATTAAAACATCACTTCATGACATCACAACATGGAACTGCATTTTGAGTTTTGGAAATATAGACAGACTTCAGGGTTACTCAAACAAAACACAACTCAAGGTCTGTTTTTGAGTCAAGAGTCAATTCTA